TATACTTTAATGTTTCTACAAATGTTGAAAGTTGAGGATGTCAGCCCCAAAAGCTTTTTTTTTTTATATTAGAGCAAAAATACGTTTTGCGTTACCGAACGCTTATTATCCGGTCAAATGCCTTACCGCTGATTCACACTGGAAGCGGATCCGCGTTCGCAAAGCGGTTGCGAACGCGGTTGTATAAGGGTCCAGTACAATTGCACGCGCACTTGATGTCATCGAGTGCGCGTGCAATAGATGACTTGCAATTTTCCCAAGCGCCCCGGCCCGCGCGCTAGGAATTGCGGGAGAGACTGTCCCTCGCCTGGCCGCTCTGCCTTGAGATCGCATTGCCTTTTTGCTTGCCTCCTCTTAATCCTCTGCTTTTTGATTCCATTACCTATTTTGGTCTATTCCAGTGTATTTTTTATTGCTTCTCAGTGTTTTTTTCTCTTCTGCGCGCGATACTTCTTTTATATATAGTATTTCCGTCTTTATTTTGCCTTTTTCGACGGGAGTGCTGACAGACAACACGCCGCTTCGCGCGTCTTTTCCGGGGTGAGTACTACCATTGCTACGGATTCCTATCGCGCTGTTAGGTGTTCATTTTGGTTCATTTGACCCGCGTGCAGTCGAGAGGAGCCGTTTATGAACACCGGCGCAGATGTCATAGGGGTAGGCAGAGCTCTGAATCAACAATCGCGGCGCAAGAGCCCAGTGCGCAATGATTTGGCCGCCCGCTCTCGCTCCGTCGACTCGCACTGTAGCGCATGCCTTCGAGTGCCACTTACTTGACCAAGATACAGCACGCCGCTTTGCCGTCGCGAATCATTTGTGCGAATGCCTGCGAAACCGTAACACCATTCGGCATATGCAACGCTGCGGCGCCTGACAACTGCACGCAGCGGCTCGAGCCCTTAGCAAGCGCCGGCGGTTCAACGTCGCGGCTTGTATGCGCCTTTGGCATGCATTCATGATCAGTCTCCTCGGCGATTGTCAGTTGCTGACATCTATAACTCGAGCATCAGCTGACATCTTGACTCGAGAAATAAAACTATCGAAGGAACTACGAGTTTCAAGATGACTGCCTGGGCGACAGCACATCTCTGCACTTTAAAATGGCTGTTTGCAACTCACAACCGCTTAGCAGATAGATTAAGAAAGCTTACCATAAGCGCATACAAGCCGCGACATTGGCCACCGGCGCTTGCGAAGGGCTCGCGCCGCTGCGCGCAGTTTGTCACGCACACCGCACGTTGGATATGACGAACGGTGTTACGGCTTCGCAGGCATTCGGACAAATGATTGGCGGCAACACATCTCTGCACTTGAAAAAGAGCGTTGGCAACTGACAACCGCTTAGCAAATAGATTACGAAGGCGTGCCATAGGCGCATTCAAGCCACGACATTGAGCCGTCGGCGTTTGCGAAGGGATCGCGCCGCAGCGCGCAGTTGTCAGGCGCTGCAGCGTTGCATATGCCTCAGCCTCGCAAACATTCGGACAAATAATTCGCGGCGACAAAGTGGCGTGCTGTATCTTGGCCAAGTAAGCGGCACTCAAAGGCACACGCTACAGTGCGAGTCAACGGAGCGAGAGCGGGCGGCCAAATCACTCGCGGCTCTCGCATCGCGATTGTTGATTCAGAGCTCTGCCTACCCCTATGACATGTGGCGGGTGTTCATAAACGGCTCCTCTCGACTGCACGCGGGTCAAATGAACCAAAATGAACAGCTAACAGCGCGATAGGAATCGGTAGCAACGGTAGTACTCACCCGGGGAACGACGCGTGAAGCGGCGTGTTGTCCGTCGGCACTCCCGTCGAAAAAGGCAAAATAAAGACACAAACATACAAGCAATATCGCGCGCAGAAGAGAAAGGAAACACTTAGAAGCAATAAAAAATACACTGGAATAGATAAAGATAGGTAATGGAATCGAAAGACAGAGGATTAAGAGGAGGCAAGCAACAAGGCAATGCGATCTGAAGGCAGAGTGGCCAGGCGGGGACAGTCTCTCCCACAATTCCTCGCGCGCGGGCCGGGGCGCTTGGGGGATTTCTCAAAAGGTCTATTGTACTGGACCGATATACAACCGCGTTCGCAACCGCTTTGCGAACGCGGATCCGCCTTTAGTGTGAATGAACGGTTATAGCGGTCCGAACCAGAAGCCAAAGTTCCAGAACTAACCGTCATTTTATTTAAAAAGTTAAAACAATTTCCTGAAATTCTCGACGGTCAAATGGCGGCCGAAAGAGCACTCGAATACTTGGTGCTAAAATGGCGCCAGGTAAAGAAAACCGGCAAAAACGAGTCTCCTATTCCCATTGACATTTCCAGAAAATCATCTATAACGTTTGACTCACCAAGCGGTTAGCTCTGACGCCTTATCATCTGTTGTAAACCGCTAGAGTTTCCTTTTTTTTTTTGCGAATATTGAGCGTTTGCCGATGAGTAGTTAATTTTTAATGTAAAATAATACTGGTCATTTCTTGTTACACGCTGTAAACGTCACTTTTTTGAAGGGCGCTAAAGGAAAACTAACAGGACGTGAAATATTTACATTTCGCTCTCGACATAACAAACAACACTTTTGAAGCTCCTACCTTATCGCATACACGAGGAAAATCCAAAGCGGCACGCATCCACGAGTCGAAGCAAACAAGCGCGAACAGAGGGAAGCTCACAAACGGCCTTGGTTGGACTAGTGCCGTTGACTTTCCATTTCCAGTTTGTTCCGTCAAGACCGGTGCCAACGCTTCAAAACGACGCGATTGGTGCGGTTTTCGTTTGGTTACTTTTGGGTGAGGTTAGGTGTTTATTTCGCCAAGAAGCCAACGGCAGGGGCATAAACCTCGCCGTGTTAGTGCGCAGTGCAAAACCGGCTCAGAACTTGGTCGGCTTCGAAGATAGGTAGGTCGTTCTTTCTTCCCTCCGAGTTAAGCAGGGTTTGTTTTTGAAGCAGAGCTTTATTTCAATGACCAAGTTATACTGGCTGTAAAAACACTAATTTTTGTACAGCAACAAATTTTAAAAGAAAAAAATACTTTTTTTTTACCCGTTAGAAACTTTCGGCAATATATGTTGTGTTTAAAGTCCGCGACCACGTACGCTTACAGACGAAAGTTGTATACAGGGTGTGAGCAAGCGCTATTTCAGGCATAAAATAAAATTTAAAAAAAACAACAAAAAAAAAACATAAAGAAGCCAATGAACGGAGCGCAATAGAATTAGTAACAAATTGCTGTGTTTAGGTGATACATTTGTCATATATTCAAGTTTCGTTAATGTGGGCTTCACGTAAGAAATTTGAGACAACTGAAAGAAAAAGAAAGGAAACATAATATATATCTAATTTAGCATTCTACGGGAATATTTTATTTCAAACCTTATTATCAAAAATGATCGCTGATTCTGTTGAGCTTAGTTTGAATGCACTCTATGTCTTAGGGGTGTGTGTGTTGCTGCAATGTGTTATTGCTTTATAAAGCGCTGCTTCTTTTGTGATGATTTTTTCACTCATGTTATGAATTTGTAAAGTTTCATTGCATAATTCGTTTGGTGCTTGCTTTGCGACTGATTTTTGTGGGGTGTCTATGGGCCAGTCAATGTGTTTTTACAGCTTTTCAGCTTTACAGTTTTTACAGCTTTACAGTTGAAAGGTATAGTCAACTTTCAACTTTTTGTTGGAAAAATAAAGGAATTATTATTATGCGAAGAGCGACAGAGAAAGAGAGAGAGAGACGGAGAGAGAGATGGTCTGGCTCTTGTTGGTGTTCACAGATGGCACGACATGAAACAAAATCTTCAAAACTTCTTTGAGATGAACATCCGAATACAGATCCCGCACATCCTAAGTACAGGAGTTTAAGCAGACGAGAGTGTGCGTGAATAGCAATATAAACCAGACAATAAGCTTGTGTAAGAAAATAAAACAAATAAATTCACAATTTTTAAAAATAAATCGAGCAAATTATTTTTATTTAAATAAGATTAATTTGATTTAATGCAGATCAACTTGATTTAAATCGTGTTGATTTGATTTAAATCGGATTAAGTTGTTTGAAGTTAGGATAATTGGACCTATATCACTGTATCTATAAGATAATCATGGCTTTTTTTATCACTATAGATTGATCGTTGATTGATCAATCCGTCCGATCACCGAAAACAGGTGGGCAAGACACAATTACTGTGAATTTAATGTGCAGTTTAATAAGATAAGCTTTTTTTATTGAGTAAACCCTGGAATAGTGGAACATAAACAGCCTGATATTTCTCAGTAAATGAAAACCTCTAGTTTATTTTCCTCTTGCGTTCTTATTTTTTTTTTTTTTTTTACATAGGGATATTATTTTGCAGACGAACGGAGTGGATAGTGGAAAGAATGTTCAACGTTCTGATGTGCTCAGAAGACCCCTGCTTTATGCCTGTGTTCAGCCTGCTATAATTATTTCCTGCTTGATGATTCCTTGATTTAAACACAGAACAAAGTCACATAAAAAGTATCAACTGATAGACAAGCAGTAAATTAAAAAAAAAAAAACAATATTTTAGGGAACAGTTTTGCGAAGGAAGGTTTCATTTTTACCTCATAGTAAAACCGGTCAGATGTAAAGCACGATTTAAATCCTGTTAAATTGTATTGTCAACCCTCGTTTGATTCCATTTCTGTGTCTCTGCATAGGAATAAGTTTTTTTTTCTTCCTGTGTTTTTTCCCCTAAAAACCCATATCAGCGAAATATAATTATGACAAATGCAACACCTGAAGATACCTTTGTGAGAAGTTTTATTGCGCTCTATTTATTGGCCTATTGGAAACGTCTTTATTTATTTTTTACGCCAGAATAGCGTTTGAGAACAACACTGTATTTCGAGCGAAACTAACACCAATTTACTAATAGAGGAGACCTCACGATCGCGGGGGTCGTTGAACGTATAATAGCGAAACACCAGAAACTCGAGTCTATTTCTCACAGAAAGGCCCTCACACCTTGCTTCAGCAACAGCAGGCGACAGAATGTCGGAAGACTCCCATCCTAACACAGCAACGCGAGGTGATCCTGAAGAGGACATCCTTCCATCCGATCTTCGAGAACGCGCCCAGCGAAAGCTCCACGAAACCCCCGAACGTCGAACAGAGGCACTCCGTGAGCTCAAGGAACTACTTCGAGGTAAGCGCAAATCCCTGCGTGTCGTGTGGAATCGTATCGGAAATTCAGTCGCGATATTGAGCAACATTAGGGAGTTTTAGCGAGTCGTTTTTCGGTCCCACGGTTCCGAAATCACGAACGGTGCAGCCTGGTCCGTTCCGTGAAACGATACGTGAAATTTGACATGTTCTAGCGAATCGTGATGCTGGCGCAACCATGTAAACGATGATGATGATTTTGTTTGACCGGTGGTGCCATCTTCTAGTAAACATGTGAAATTTTCTGCAACGTGTACATTCGTGGCGGCTCGTGTTTCCGGCGTACGACTGATATAAACAAGACGGCCGACGTAACATAAAATTTAGCCTTAAGGCTCTGATCTGGACGCCGTTTCGCCACATGCCCGAGCGCAGTCGAATGCTAGAAGAGATACAAACGCGAACACACAGATACTTAAACGCAGGGTGACGCCGCGTTCACTGCACTCGTATAATTTAAACAATAGTTGCACAAAAAACAATAGAAATAAACAAGACGCACGCAGAGATGTTGCGTTTTGGGGATGCTGGATTGGTCCCATTGGCTCATAGTGTCGGCTGAACCCTGACTTAAAATGAAGCAGAGTAGAGGGTGTCCCTACCTCCCCCTACCTCCCCCCACCCTCCCCGTTCCCCCCCAAAAAAGAAAAAAAAACAGTTTTTTTTTAATCAGAAAAAATAAACTACGCATCACTGAACGCTCATTCTCCGCCAAAAATCGCCTTAGCTGTCTAAACCAGATGTCGCACATTCAGAAAACAAACCGTTATATTATTCAAAAGTTACAGTCGATTTTCTGAAATTTTCAATGGGAAAATGGTAACCGATGAATTAATACATGAAGCTCAATGGCGCCGGTTACCGAGAACATGCGAAAAGGGGCCCCATTTTTCTGTTAAAATTTTCAGAAGATCACGGATATCTTTTGACTGAGATAACGGTTAGTTCTGAAACTTTGTCATCTGGTTGAAACCGCTAGGGCTACATCTGGGCAAAGAAACAGCGTTTGGTAACGCGCAACATACCTCCGCGTTAAAAAAAAAAGGGGGAGGGGGAATGGGCCTCTCTCTATCTCTCTAACTAAACTTTCCGATGGTACGTATGGCACTACTGTGGCGCTGCTCTCAGCACTGCGCACGCAAAGACGCTTTATATCACGCGAGTCTGGTTTCTGCGCACGTGAAGTGAGGGAAAACGCGGGCTCGCTTGTGAGCAGCGTGTTGGCGCGTACGTGGTGTTAGTTGAGTGGGTAAACAGGGTTTTTCTGCACGCGAAGCGTTGGCCCTATGCACCTATCCACTGCTTACGAAAATCACAGTCTACGCGTGCTACATCACAGTCCAGCCAGCGCTCGCTCGCAATAGTGGCCAGCCAGAAAGTGCGCGTGTATAACACACAAACACAGCCATGAACGCGCCCTGGTACGCTTTTATGAAAAAGCATATACTCTGTTTCATACTTAGTGTACGACGCTGTTGAAGGGGTACTGCACCATACATTTCATTGTCTATAATAAGTGGCGCACGTTCTTTCCACGAGCCAGCAGCCGCCGGTGTGCAAGAGAACACGCAACGAAATTGACGTCATAGCCCTCCATTCGAGGTTAAGGTGAAAGTGAAGTGTATGGGCTTCGGGCGAAAGGAGAATAAAGACAGGCTTTTCATCTCCACGAGTGCGAGCTACGGGTGCTTGTTAGACCACTTAATCGCTTACTTTTATACCAGACCCCACTGTGTCAAGATAATACGCTTGTCTGTATGCTCCTTTTCTCTCCTTTTCCTTTATTCTCCTTTTCCCTTTCATCTTGGCGCGAATGGGGGACTAAAATGTCAAATTCATGGCGTGTGCTCAGGCACACCGGCGGCCGCCGGCTCGTGGAAAGATCGTGCGCCACTTATTATAGACACTGAAATGGTTGGTTCAGCATCCCGTTAAAGCTGCTAGCCCGAACAACTCGCAGATTATTTGCAGCGTTCTCGCGCAAACGAAACCACATAGATAAAGCCGGCGCGCTCGCGCCAGTAGCTTTGACGGCGTTGTTTACTTAGTAAGAAACAGAGTTGGCCAGAATTAAAGGGCCAGTGCAACGAGTTTTGTACGTTGAGCTAATACCGCTTAGAATCAATTCCTAGCGTTCATAGCCCATGAAACACGCATTAGTTTTTCTTCTACGCGGTAGTTGCAAACAAAATAATAATAATAAAAAAAACAAAAAGAACTAGCGGCGTTCATTTCCTCAACTTGCGGTCAGAACATAGGCCACGTGATCTGGAGCCGATTAAATGCCGCCAATGTTTATTATGGAGTCACGCGCTGGGGGTTTTGAAAGCACACTTTTGCCCGTTCACATCGGAATGAGCGTCGTACCTGCGTGCAGCCGTGCATCACCACTACGTGATGCTCGTTAAAGACTCCAGACGAGTAGTCGTACTGCACTGGCTAAAGTTCATCTCTACAGCTTAAACCAGTGCCGTCACACGACAAGGCAAACCGACCTTAATCATGGAACACATGAGCGGTGAAATGGGGCTCCGCGCAGGGCCCGCCGCTCGCCGCTAGGCGTGTATACCACAGGCGCATCGCGCGACCTTTTCCGAACCGGCCAGATCCGAGCTATACGCGGCGCCGCGAAAAAAATGACGTATACGGACGCCAGCACTGGTTGCATTGATATTACCATGCGGCATCCGTTTTCATCGCTCATGTGTCCCCCCTGCTTTATGCTGTCTAAACACGAACAACTAATGGGTGTACGAGACAACAGATTCTGTCAAACCGGTTATAAAGTGTGAGACTCGTCTGCAGACACGCATGTACACATCGCGACACTGTTAGCGCGAACGCGACATCGGCGCAATTTCGCATTTTACTTCTAAATAGTATTAGCGAGCGCGAAATTTTATCGCTTACATTATATAACTAATTGAGCTCTTTCCGTAAGAGTAATAACTTGGATGAGATCCCTTGGTTTTAAAGAGAAAAACTGAAAAAACCGGCAATCGCTTGTTCGCGCTAACAGTGTCGCGCTCTGTACGAGCAGTGTGACATTGGCTATTGTCGTCATTGCAGCGATTGAACACGAGCCACTACCCAAGTGCTTGTCAAGCTATTGATTATCTCGAGCCCAAATCGAATGCTCACAAATGCTCGGCCGCATTCAAATATCGTGACTCGGGTACTGTGCCAACACTGCTACCTCTGAGCTACTCCATTAAGTTTTGCAAAGGAGAGATACGAAGAAAACGCTCTCTCTTATCCTTGGCATTACACTGCAACAGAGAAGTTTCTTTGTCAGTGGCGTTGCGTGCGAGTGAACTTAGGTTCCAATGGGTGCCAGCAAGCTCGTGTAAAGTGAAACACATTCCAAGCGAATATCGCTGCACCACCCTATTAAGCAATTATTGGATAGTGCGTGCATTGCAGTAGGGCTAATCATACTACTGAAGTTTGTCCTCTTCGCCTTTTGAAGGTCAAGATGAGACGCTGACCACCAGGACGGACACACTGTTCCTGCTGCGCTTCCTGAGAGCCAGGAAATTCGACGTTCCCAGGGCGTTCCAGATGATCGAGCGTTACTACCGCGTCCGTCTCCAAGACCAGAGTCTGTATCGGGACCTGCACCCGTTGTCTCGAAGGCATCTTTTCGAGCTCCAGACGCACGGTTTCCTGCCAGACACCGATCCCAAGGGGAGGAAGATATTCGTGATGCGAATGGGTATGATCCGAATGGCGGTCATCTTGAACGGCTACCAAACACTAAAGTTGGCGGGTTATGATGAAGAAGTGGACGAGAGCTTTCCTGAAAAGCTCGTTACAATTAAGTGTGCCCGATATCGTTGGAGTGTCTGGCAACGCACAATATTCATAAAACATTTCGCGAAGGAGAGAAGGGGGCAGGACTGTACTCTAATGTTAGAAATTTCCTATTGAAAAAAACATTTTCTGGTTCCTTTCCTTCAACTGCTAGCCTCCCAGTGTCCCCCCAGAGACCTATATAGCGTTCAAACGCAATTTCGTTTTGTTTTACCGGACTATAGGAGACATCTAGAATATAGGGCATCAACAAATTGAGTTCCCGATTCTTGGACTTTCTATAGTCACCGACAAAATGGAGAACGGCGGGCGTCTCTTTCGGATGCCCGACCTCTGGCAAGCGGTCGCTGCTCTCCACCGTGCTTTGAATGCGTGTGTGCGCTCGAGGTTCGCGGGACGACAAACCGCTATCAAAAATATTTAGGGAGCTCGCGCTAGAGGCCGTACAACTGAAAGACCTTCTTGCCGTTCTCATTCTATCAGTGACTAGAGAAGTGCATAAAACGCTGCCTCCTTCTTCGCTTATTTTTCCCAGGCAACTGGAAGCCCAGCATCTGCAGTATAGACGAAATGTCGGCGCTCGCTGTTCTAGCCTGGGAACACGTCCTCGAAGACCCGAGAACGCAGGTGATGGGAATCGTGGTCCTTCTGGACCTGGGAGGTGGTTCGCTCAGGCACATGAAATCCGTGACGCCGAGTCACGTCTTCGCAGTCGCCTACAGCATTCAGGTGTGCGCTCAGTTTTTTTTCCCCCCTCTTACACGTACATAAAAACGCGACACTGATCTCACGGTTCCGCTACTGTCGCTCCGGCGCATGCGCGGATACATTGCTTTACGTGAATCTGGGTTTCTGCGCACGTGGAGTGCCCACATCTGATATGGGCAAAGGCCGACTTCTTTGTAGGCATGCAGTGTATCGCGGCCTCGTAGTAGCACACTTAGTCCTGGGAATGTCTTTTAGGATGTGTACAAACGTTCCAGGGCTGTCCGCATTTGGACGTTCATAGGACATTTGTGCTGCTCGGGGGGTCTATAGACGCTTTGCAGCAGCTGTGTATGGGCGCCGCCATAACCGACCTTCAGTTTTTGCTTCCTCTTATTTCGTTTTCTTCACACCATCGTTACCATATTGCAGGCAAAGTCATTGCATTTTAGATTCTACCGTGTCCTTGTCCGCAGCATTGGCCTTCGTGAAGTCTCGTCAACAACCGTTTCAGTTGCTCGGTATCTCGGTAAGACGATAGAAGGTCAGCAATGGCTGTCGTGATCTGGCGCGTGTGTAAAGCGTCTTTACACTACACTCACATCACTTATTTTACGGTCACTTAAAAGGCCTTCGGAACGAACTCTCGACGTGCTGAACCAATTCCGAGGGGCCTCAGAATTGGTTCAGCACATCGAGAGAAACTACTGAACTATATTCTGTTTCAGGTTAATAAATGCAAGGAAAGCTACTCCCACAAAGCGCTCTACTCTCCCTGCTTCGGAGCTAAAGCGCGAAAAGGCGAGAGCTTTTGTCCAGCGTTCGCTCTGCTAAAATAGAACTAATGGGGACTGTGTGACTTGTTATGTCTTTCTTAACCTACGGCGGGGTATAGTAACCTACATTATGGGTCAAAATAATATTTGTTCGCGAAGGTATTGATTTTTCGAATTCGGTCCTCGCCGTTCTTTTGTGAACTGAACGTGCTCTGCTGAGAATACTGAGAATGTAACGATAGATGCAATATGGACAGTAGAACCCTTTCCCGACAGGCCGCAAGAGGTTCGATGGTGTGAAAGGAATGCCAGTGAAGCTCGTTCTAGTAGAGGATGAAAAAGTGAAAGCCGTTTACAACTCCCTGTAACGGCGAATTGGAGCGGAGCTCTTGAGGAGGAGAAGGGAAGGGTAGTAAGGGTCTCGTGGGTCACGTGACCTGGGGGGGTCACGTGACCTTGGGGATCACGTGACCTTGGGGTGACCTTGGTTACGCCGACGGCGACGCCGCTCAAGCCGGAAATGGGCGCCTAAGAGCTGCGCTCTAAACGAAAATCGCGGCATTCTGCGATTTTTTAGACCTCCTGCTCGACCTGCAAGTGCAGTGTACTAGAATAGGAGTAGTGGAAAAATAGCCGGCCTCCAGGTGAGGCGCTTCGTGTAGAACCTACCAGGGGGGCTATGTTGCACGTTTTGGACTCCCAGGAGACTAGGGAGAAGGAAGTGACGTCAACAACGCAGCAAATGCAGATTGGATGTTGATTTTGTTTTCTTCTGTCAACATCCAATCTGCGTTTGCTCTAGTCGTTGACGTCACTTCCTTCTCCCAAGTCTCCTGGGAGTCTAAAACGTGCAACATAGCCCCCCAGGTAGCGCTGGTGTTCGATTCCGGAGCACTCCTGCCAGCGAAGTTCGCGCCAAGCGTAGTTGTTTTTGATCTTAGCGGTTCATTAGTGTGGCCAATGTATACTTTATGGGTGTTTCAACGTCTATGAATTAATGTTTAAAGCTTACTTGGGCAATGTAGTGAAAACTGGGGTAACCAGTCTCGCATGCTGGCGCGTAGAGGTGCGTATCTGTCTTCTTTCCCTTCGTTTTCATTGCTTAGCGGCAAGACTCGAACCTGTGTTATCACAATGCCAAGCACATGGCATTCACGAAAACAAATTGCGAAAACGACCATTGACGCCACAGAAACCAACTGAGAACGTACGCGACGCCATATACCATGTTACAGTAGCCATGTCCTCCGGATTTCGAAAACAGCGCCACTCGCGGCAGTCTACACTTCTGGCCTCACACGGCCGATGGGGCACCGCCGACGCTTTTTCCACTGCCCCTATATTCTAGTTCACTGTATTACAAGTGACATCACCCCTTAAAAAGCGCGGGAAAGTTTGAATGTTGCTTTTGGCCTCGCCTTCATTTGAAATTTTGTCAGTAAATATTTTAGCCTTTGAAATAATAAAAAAAAAATATTTTGAGAAGATTATAACCCGAGTATTTCAAAAATAAAAGTTTCGCAAATAACTAAAACAAGAAATTGTCGTAAATTTTTTTAAAGAATTGGCGAACCAGAGCACGCCATTGTGCACGCGACGAACTAAGATCTCTAGCTGATTCGCCGATTCTTTAAATGAATTAATTCTAAAAGCCTTATAAGTTCTCGTAAAACCAGGGTATAGGATGTATTCGCTGGACGCCGTGTTTAAGGCGATATTAAGGGCGCATGCTCAGAACGAGCTCACGTTGATCATGCTGCAAAGACCGGGTATCTTGGTGGTGTGGAATGCATGTCGCAAAAGAACTGTCAGAGCTCGGCGCCAGCACGCGCTCAGCGCTCCCGCAGACAGCTATGACTATAGTATCAATGAATACTCCCTATTGGGGAGAAGATCGAACAGTAACCCCCCATTCACACTGGAAGCGGATCCGCGTTCGCGAAGCGGTTGCGAACGCGGTTGTATAAAGATCCAGTACAAATGCACGCGCATTTGATGTCATCAAATGCGCGTGCAATTGTACTGAATCCTTATACAACCGCGTTCGCAACCGCTTTGCGAACGCGGATCCGCTTCCAGTGTGAATGAGCCCTAACGCCTCTACACTCCATTTCACGAGTTGCGTGCAGCAAAGGCAAAAGCACAGGCGCGAGCACTTGCTTTTCAGATTTGCCTTCCTTTCACGAGCACTCGCGGAAGGAAAGCAAATCTAAAAGCCAAGTGCCCGCGCCTATGCCTTTGCCTTTGCTGCACACAACTCCTGAGAGAGAGTATAGCGGCATCCTTCAGCTGTGGGGCAACAAAGCGAATTTTTTTTTTGTTGTTGTTGTTGATCACAGAAATCGAAGATGACGATTCGAAGGCCGCTCCTCGTGCGACCAAAGCACTGGTCAAAGTGAAACGCTCGTGTCCAGTCCGTGCTATAGGCGAGGTTCAATTTCTTTGTTTTTCAGTGTTAGTAAATTCACCGGGCTGCGTGGACAACAAGCTCTGTAAAGCGCTCCCTATAGTTCGACCTCCTGCTCGGGACGCCATGTTGTTGGGCATCGTTCGCAGCGCATGTTCAAAACTAGCTCTCATTTATCGTTTTCCAAAAAGAACGACTCTGACTGTGTGGAATAGGCGTTGAACGGGGGGATCGGTGGCCGAGTGGTCTAGCGCACACCAGCTCGGAGCACGTGGAGCGAAAGCTCGCGCTGCAGAACCCAGGGATCCTGGGTTCGAGCCCCACCCCTGCCCGTCTCGATCTGGATGAGCATCGTACCGGCGTGCGGTCGTGTATCACTACTGCGTGGTGCACGTTAAAGACCCCAGGCTAGCGGCTGTACCGCACTGGCTAAATTTCTCATCTACAGCTGGGAGACTCGTCGCCCCTGTGAGGCAGACCAAGTTCTAGGCTGTATAAACCCACACTCAACCCAATTTTATTTTAGGCGTTGAACGTGCGTTCCTGCGCATTCCTCCTTGTCCAAATGCTTGTTCCTGGTAGTGGATAAGTTCGCGCTATGCTTGGGGACATTTGCTGGCAGTGAGGCCAAAGCTATGAGTACCCGTGCGCTCGCGCGCCTTGAGCTTCGATCAAAGCTGTGCACGCGCGTTCTTCACTTACGGTGTTTTCCAGAGAAGGTCGTCACCGAGTGTAGGTCTGAGCATGTGCTCCGAACAATGTCCAGCAATGTGGAGTTCCCCTATAAGAGCGCTTCAGATAAGCAAGTTGGGCAAAGTCCTCTGATAAAGGATGCGTCTTCAAGCATTCTAACCGCGCAGATTTCTTAGTTTAGATGGTTTATTTTACCGCGGTGTCCTCAAAAATATTCTCCTGGATGAAAAAAAAAAAAAAAATATATACATATATATTTGAGCGAAAGGAAGGCTGTCACTTTGACGTTTTAGTTAGTTATATTGGAAAATTGATTACAACCTCCGTTAACTGCGTCTTCCCACTGCAAAAAAAAAAAAAAAAAAAAGGTTGTTAAAGTGTTTTTAGGGGTTCTTCGGCTTGTCCATATTTTGCACCCTAAAATGTTCTTTCAAGCATTCCCTAAAAGGGTTCATCGTGAAAAAAAAATCTATAAGGGGTTCTTCTAAGCTTCTTTTCTTGATGCGAATGACTTCATCCCCCAGTTGCCTTCCTAGTGCGCCAGGGGGCGATAACGCTTGAGGGGAAGGGGGATCGGTGGCCGAGTGGGCTAGCTCGGAGCACGTGGGGTAGTCCGGAGCACCAGCTCGGAGCAGGCGGAGCGAAAGCTCGCGCTGCAGAACCCAGGGATCCTGGGTTCAATCCCCAACCCTGGACGCTTCGATCTGGATGAGCATCGTGCCGGCGTGCGGTCGTGTATCACTACTTCGTGATGCACGTTAAAGACCCCAGGCTGGCGGTTGTACTGCACTGGCTAAATTGCTCATCTACAGCGAGTGACTCGCCGCAGCTTTGAAAAGGCTGATTAACTACACGCTGTATAAATATCCACACAACCCCAATTATTATTTCTTGAGGCGAAACCACTCTTCTTGAGCCGAAAGAGTCCGTGGGGCGTCAAAAAAACTTTCAAGAACGATTGTTTCTGTATTTTGTTTATTGTTTTTTTTTTGTCGATGAGAAATTGTATCGCTATTTTGTTTACTATACCATGTGGGCCAAGAGGATCGTACTTACTTTAAACAGACTGCCAATATCGGTTTCTCACTGTATCGCCACACGATCTTATCTGTGCGTACCCATAAGTAAGGAATCTGGCGTATCAAAACTTTAAACCATGAATTCACCCGACTATAAATGAAGAATAGAATAACGCTTTCTCCTCTTCCTTCGGCATCAGTAGTGGCGCTAAGCATCAGTATGCAATACATACAAGTCAGAGGTTCAGAAAGGAGCTGGTATAGCTAGAATACCGACCTACTATTCTTTCGCACTTTTCGTGTTTAGTCAAAATGTCTTTTACGTCAGAATGACGATATCCTTGTCCTCAAAATCTACAACGCCGTGCGTCGTTTCTGACTTCACAATATCGTACGTTTTCTGCAAGGCGCAGCATTTGCAGCGAGCCACGGTTGGGGGTAGGACCGCTGCTGCCATCTGTCAGCTGTTGCGCCACTCATGCTTTAATCGGCATGGCCTCCGAGATCCTTCGGGATATCGGAGGCCATGGTGTCGTTTGTAGACGATCGCCGTAGGTACAGTTGGTAGAGAAATAGGATTCTTGGGATCTCTACTTACGTAAGTTCGTTCTTCAAAATGTTGATACACAAAACCCTTCGGGCGCTGGGAAAAAGTCATCCGAACCATTGAAAGTGGGTTGGATGCATTGGGATCAGCGGCATATCATATTTGGTATGCACCAAGGTATGCAATAAATAAAAATCTTTTTGCCGAGCATGGGGAAATGCTATTATTGGTATCTCTGAATAAAGACTGAGCTGAAATTTTATATCGTTTAACCGAGTGTTAAGGCGTGTTTTGGATGCAATTTTGTTATGTTTCTATCTGTCTTCAACACTCTCGACTTAGAGGCGTTTCTGCCCACGTTCTCATTTTTTTTAGAAACTGTAATAAAATGTTACAAATGTAGCAAAAAAAGAAAAAAAGTTACCAGCGTTGAGCCGTATTGCACGAAAGACTTCAGGTGCTCTGCTACATCGGGCATTGCATCATTATTATAGTGAAACAAATACCACATCCGGGACACACAATTTTGAAGTGCACAAAAAAAGGAATTCAATGAAAAGCATGTTTCACAGTGTGGAAAGCGTAAGAAAAAGTTAGTAACGGTCCTTATATAATTAAAATTTGTTGTTTCGGTGGGGTCGCGACAATGTCAGTCCGCAGTAATGGTATAGACGCTTTGCAGCAGCTGTGCATGGGCGCCACCATAACTGACCTTCAGTTTTTGTTCCCTCTTATTCCGTTCGCTTCACTTCATCATTACCACAGCAGGACAGGTTATTGCCATTTTAGATGCTACTGTGTTCTTGTGCCCAGCATAGGCCCTTGTGAAGACCCGTCAACGCCCGCTTTAGTGGCTCGGCATCTCGGTAAGACAAGAGAAGGGCGGCTATGGCGGCTCAATCTGGCGCGTGTGTAAAGCGTCTATACTTTCAGTCGTAATCCTGTTAAATCCTGTTTATTGTGTCTACAGATGTCGGCCAGTGGATTTCCATTTCGTAAAGTTTTGACGGTCTCCACAGAATTATTATTTTCCTGGCTCATCCATTACGGTTACACGAATAGCTTCTTGCTTTAGGCCGGCTGTCGTTGACGTCAGTAAATGCATGTTTATATTGGTAGGCATTGTTGTGCTTTCGACTATTATATATGCAACTTTGTATTTCTTGCGCTCCAGGAATGCTTCCCAATGCGGCTAAAGGCATTCCACGTCATCAACCAGCCGGTGTTTTTTATGCCCTTGTTTCATCTAATCAAACCATTCCTCAAAGACAAGTTCGTCCGCAGGGTAAGCAACACGAGCTGTGGTGCAAGTTATTACCTTTTAATTCTGCATGCAGGCATGTGCACTAATATAAAATTTTCGGGCGCCGTTAGTTAGTTGATTACTACTCGACTAATTGGCATGATGTGGAAGCTATGATTGTTAAGTGTTGCGACGTTATAAATGTAACATTGTGCAGTCGTCGAACACGATTTCTGGAATTTTTATTGGCTTAGCAATGCAGCAGCGGTATCTTTCGTAATAAAACTCTTTAATTTAATTTCTTGGTATATTTGGCATATACCCAGAGGCCTTGTTAAATCAGTAGTACAGGAGACAAGAAATCATATGTGTTTATAGTGGCGTCAAGTTATCGAATGGTAAGCACTACCTAATAAGTGGGGTTGTGCGTCTTGTTCAATAAATAAATATCAGGCTTAAATATAAGACACCAGGCACTAAAAAAAAAAAAAGAAACACGTAATTTTGCGGTAAGTTTTGAAAACATTGCGTCAAAAAAAAAAAAAAAAAACAGAAGTCGTGACAGTGATTAAATTATTCACGCTGAATCGGAGAGCAAAGATTATGAATGATGCGTAATGACAACCGAATAAAATAGTTACATTTAGAACATTTAATAGGTTAAGCAATTAGTCGGCAAAGAATACATTATTTTATTAACCGGTCGATTAACATGAATTAAATACTAATTCAGTAACTAAGGAGCTTGCGTACAAGTACCTAGGTGTCGCATTGTCATCTGACTGTTCGTGGAATGCTCAGATACGAGATGTAATGCTAAACTCTGGCAGGGCAATGATTTTCATTCAACGTAACTTAAAATGCTCGCAACTTAACTTAAAGACAACGGCTCATTTGACATGTGTTAGACCCCTTCTAGAGTACGCGTGTGCAATCTGGGACCCAGTCCAGAGAACGTTAATAGATAAGCTGGAAGCAAATACGAAGCAGTGCGACTGAGTTCGTTTTTGGAAGATATTGGAGAAAAAAAAAAAGTTGCTCATAAATGAAAAAAAGTGTTAAACTCAGATAACCACTTTTAGCGCATCGGGAAAAATTTTGATGAAAATTTCTGTTCACAAAGAAAAAAATAGAACTGGAATAAATAGCGAGACTCACTTAAAACAGTTCTATTATGTATCTAGTTGGAATAACCATAGTCTTAAAAGCTCTAAGATGCAAGCATATTTGCAAATTCTTTTTTTGTTCGAACGATTGCACAATAGAACTGACTCACGGAAAAACAAGTGTGCTGTTTAAATAAATATGTGTTTTTTCTTTCACCTCTGTAAACCCCCTGCCCTCACGCCCCTGGGCACTGCGGGGTAAATATTAACTAAAGTAAAAAGATATCCACTTTACAACCCTACAGTTGAGAACACTGTTCAGTACGACAATATAAAATTGAGTAAAATGGGGTATAAATATTACATCCATAATAATTTGGCTAAAAGAAGTTGAGAAACAAAAGCCAATCTGCCTCAACCTAACATAAAAAATGCGCAATACAAAGAGAAAAGCCGAAGATTTGATAGAAAAGTATACTTGGTGCAAAACATTTAAATGTCGCGCGCGTTATAAAAAAAATAAGTCAAACCAGCATAGTATACAAAGTAACGACTAATTTAGTAGGTAAATGATTAAAGCTTTTTTGTTTCTGTTGATCCAAACAGAGCGATGCATTTTAACGCGATATTAACGCGTTAGCGTTAAAAGGGGTACTCCACGGGTTTCTTGAGCTACGTGAACTGACTATATTTTCTGACCCCTCGGCATTTTCCCTTTCCGGTATGCTATTTAATATCGCAAAATTAATAACAGTTATTGTGAAATCGGCAATTGAAAAGGATGCAAAAACCAACATTCAAATATGCCCGCCCTTTTCAGTGCCGTGACATCAGTGACACGCAGGCTTGCCAGTGGAGCAAGCAGTCTAAAAATATAATATGCCAATCATTTTTTTTTCCGTGCTGGAGCGCGGGGACTGGAGCGAGCTTCCAAAGCATTCATTTGACACCATGAAACTGCTTCGAATCAGTTGGGAACAAATTCTACAGTTCAAAGACTGAACGCCTGCCTTCCACTGAGGTCATTTTTTCGTTGTTGCCAGTAGAGACTTTGTTTGAAAAACACGGTGAGGACCAAAACTGTAAATTCAATAACTTCGCGAAAAAAACACACAATATTTTGACCTAATGTTTGGGATACTATTTTAGCGATGTTTGTTGGTGAGTTTAGCAAAAATTCAAGCAAATCAGAGACAATGAAAAAAACAGTGGAGTACCCCATTATCGTGTCGCAGAAAAGCCAGTGGCGGTGTTGGTTGAACGGGAAAATCCTGATTGGTCGATAGGGTCATGATGTCACAGTCACATGACCTTGCGTGGAAATTTCAAACAACCCACAACGCTCACGTGAAACGTGACGTCACGCGTGGCATGAAAGTAATGTGAACATGACATGGTAATACGAATTAGAGGGCGCCGCATGTCTCAAATGATTTCACTTTATAAAGTAATTCATTTGCCTTTTAAAGGAACAATTCGAAAAACTTTAGGCGGGATTCAAGCCTCCGACCCTTTGGTTGCGAGCCACACGCTACTCACAAGGACACGCAGACACTTTTTTTTTTATTGCCTTTATTGTTCTTTACAGGTTCACTTCTCCAATAAAAGGTTAAAAGCATAAGCCAACTTGGCTGATGAGGAAAGTGACACAGAGTCCAACTCTCCAGAAATCTTTGAAGGTCGCATGCTTTTCAATCAGTGGCAATCATTCAGGCAGCGGCTGCAGCAACTTATAAATTTATTTCGGGCAGCACGTGCTCTCAGCGAAATACTTATGCCCTGGACACACATTAACATCTGCGTGCCGTACCACCATACGACACTGCACAAGACCATGCAGAGCAACGAGCATAAGCATGTTTTAGGGAACTGTGTCCCCACATATCCCAAACAAGTATACCGTATGCCATAGGGTGTTAACGGTAGATTTCTTTTAAAGTGCTTTAGAAAAAGTCCCTCCCCATAAAAAAAAAAAAAAAAAAAAAAAAAAAAAAAAAACCACCGTGTTCCGGCAATCTAGGTATAGGCCACACAGACGCGCCTGTATGGCTTGGGAACAAGCGGGAGCTCATGTGTGTGTTTTTTTTTTTTAGTTATTTGTACCAAATTTTAAGCAACGCTCACGTCAGATAGTACACTAAAGGTAAGTAAACCAACAGTGCGGCTTGATGTCGAATTGTATAGTTGTTGCAAATATTATCTTCATTGTATCTTTATTTTAGTTTGTATAGTCCGTTGCAATTCATGAAGGTAGGGCGAGGGCGGCCGGGCAGGAGGAAGCAGACGGAACGCTAAAGAGAGGAGGAGGAGGTTTCCGCCTTTCTTCTCCAGCGTTCCATCTGCTTCATCCTCCCCGGCCTGTGTTACGCTCGCCTTACCTTCTTGAGTTGCAACGGACCATAGCATGAAATGTGCACACGACAGGGCCGTACCCAGAAAAACATTTCGGGGGGGGGGGGGGGGGGGGGGGGGTTCGGGGACAACGGCGGCCATTTTGAAAGTGTCTATTGTCTTATTTTCGCTTATGAATCATGTGCATCAGTGGCATATAATGGAGAGTTGCAGCAAACCGGAGAACCGGTCCCGGTTTGGTACCCGGTAGCCGACCGGCGTGCGCGTGCGCAGAGGTGGAGATTAAAATCGGCTGGCTGCAAGTGCACCGACCAGGGCGCCGTACCCAGAAAAAGATTTCGGGGGGGGGGGGGGGGGGGTCAGAACCCCCTAACCCCTCCCCTGGTTACGGCCCTGGCACACGATATGCATCATACGGGCTCGAAATAGGTCGGTGTGAAATATCCCTGGAATAGAATGTCTGGGGATAAAATGCCCTTGAGATATAAACTTTTGTCATGAATATCTGGTGTTTTTGTAACCTCCCCATTTCAGTAGAAAATGATATTCAAGTTATCCCAGTATTTCTTCTTTGTTTTCCGAAAAGAAATTAGCTCAGGTAAAAAATAAAATAAAAAGAGAGATAGAATCTTCAGGACACACTGATCAGTATATTGTCAATCTCAACCTATTGCTGTATAAAAAATATAATGTTTTATCGCACTCAGTACCCTAATATGCGGGTAACTTATTAAAAAAAAGTCTTTTTTTTTTTATTGACGCATTGACAAATGAATGGCGGGAATATTCTACAATTCCGACGAATACACGTAACTTTTATACCCCAAACGATTGAAAAAAAATTTCATTAAATTATATTTGTCATAATTCCATTACAAATTAAACACCCTTAACACTTACGCCCCCCCCCCCCTCTTTTCTACCATTTTTTTTTCTTGTTGTTGCTCAGATGCACGTACACGGAAAAAACCTTGAGTCACTCCACAAGTTCCTGCCGCCAGAGATCCTTCCGGCAGAGTACGGGGGACTCCGAGGAGCTTTTGACAACGGTCCCTTCTGTGCCGAACTCTACCAGAACGACGCAACGTTCAAAGTAAACAGCACCTACGGCTATCGGCCGAGCTGTTGTTCCCAGCAGAGGACAGAAGGCTACCGCAGCTCCCGTATCGATTACCTCTGCATGCTTTGGCGAAAGTTTACCAGGCTGTCTCACGTGCCCAACGACATTCCCAAGATTCCCGGCGTCAAGGCGGAAAAGTTGACCGAACACTACATCAAGAAGTTGGAAGACACCGACTAGAACCAGCTTCTTTCTGCAGGCCGGAAATAAACGCAAAAAAGAAAAATAATAAATCTATCGGCGGACAGTTATACTCCGCTTCGTACTGTACTCTGTTCCAGTTTGTGGGCAACCTGGCGATTTACCCCCTCCACCGCAGAACATGACTCTGGAACCATCATTTGCGTGGTCTGGAAACGCACGTGCACATAGAGTCGAGAGAGAACAAGACGATTCCAATCAGGCGACCGTCCCCCGAACCCCAGATTCTTGTGCATACGAATCACGAACCCTAGACCCTCGTGCATACGAATCACGGAGGTGCAGCGGTTACGAAGGCACGCAATCACAACGCTACAGCCCCTCCATTGGTCAAGATGAGTTCTTGTCCTCTGGACCGGTAACGCGGAGCTTGGGAGAGGCAGAAGAGAGCGGGACACCGCACGAAGCCGACGGGCGGGTCACGCCCCGTTGTTTTCGATGCGACCAGCCAGGACACATACACCGGGACTGCAGCGAACGGCAGCGGCCGCCTCAGACACAGGGAAACGGCTACGGCCGGCGGTGGTAAGAAATTTCTACTCTCCGCCGGCCGCGTCAAAAACACACTCCACGAGATCGAGTCGCCGCAGCCGCCTCCGGGCCTCCCGGAGGCTCACACGGGCTCCGGGGACTGACGCTTTTCTATCGACCCTCGGTGGCCCTCCATCACTTTTTCTTCCTCATAACACTCCTCGTTGTGAGACTCCCGGCGTGTCCGATTTTCCATGGACACCCGGGCGCCCAGCTCACACCGTTCGCGGTGTTGAGACTCCCGGCGTGTCTGCTCGTGCATCGACAACCGGGCGGCCAGCTCACAACACTTTCCGTCATGAGACTCCCGGCGTGTCCGCGTTTGCGTCGACAACTGGGCGCCCAGCTCACACCGTTCGCGGTCTTGAGACTCCCGGCGTGTCTGCTCTCGCATCGACAACCGGGCGGCCAGCTCATAACACTTTCACTCTTCGTCGTGAGACTCCCGGCGTGTCGGCTTTCACACCGACACCCGGGCGCCCAGCTCACACCGTTCGCGGTCTTGAGACTCCCGGCGTGCCTGCTGTTGCAGTGACACCCGGGCGGCCAGCTCAGAACACTCTCCGTCATGAGACTCCCGGCGTGTCGGCTTTCACACCGACACCCGGGCGCCCAGCTCACACCGTTCGCGGTCTTGAGACTCCCGGCGTGTCTACTTTTGCACAGACACCCGGGCGGCTAGCTCATAACACTCTTCGCCGTGAGACTCCCGGCGTGTCGGCTTTCACACCGACACCCGGGCGCCCAGCTCACACCGTTCGCGGTCTTGAGACTCCCGGCGTGCCTGCTGTTGCAGTGACACCCGGGCGGCCAGCTCACAACACTCTCCGTCATGAGACTCCCGGCGTGTCGGCTTTCACACCGACACCCGGGCGCCCAGCTCACACCGTTCGCGGTCTTGAGACTCCCGGCGTGTCTCCTTTTGCACAGACACCCGGGCGGCTAGCTCATAACACTCTTCGCCGTGAGACTCCCGGCGTGTCGGCTTTCACACCGAGACCCGGGCGCCCAGCTCACACCGTTCGCGGTCTTGAGACTCTCGGCGTGCCTGCTGTTGCAGTGACACCCGGGCGGCCAGCTCACAATACTCCCCGTCATGAGACTCCCGGCGTGTCGGCTTTCACACCGACACCCGAGCGCCCAGCTCACACCGTTCGCGGTCTTGAGACTCCCGGCGTGCCTGCTGTTGCAGTGACACCCGGGCGGTCAGCTAACAACATTCTCGGTCATGAGACTCCCGGCGTGTCTGCCTTTGCACTGACCCCCGGGCGAACAGCTTCCACTGTTCCCGGTCCTACGCTACCCGAAGCAACTGCATTTGAGTTGGACCCTAATGCGATTCCCTTTCAGCCAAAGGCCGGCCCGATCCCCAGCGTCAGAGCCGCTTTGAAGTTCTCAACACCAAGGATGGTCGCTCTGGATGGCCGGCCGCTAATGGACTCGCACCAGTCGACGGAGGTAGGAACAACCTCACTAAACGAGAAACCGACAGTGCTCATCCCAGCTGTGAGTAGAATCGAATCTACACCCAAGTCTCTTGAACCTCGTATGACTGTGAATGTACTAGGTATACCAGTAGCCGCTCTTTTAGATACTGGAGCAAACATATCGCTTATTGGGGATGCTGTATTTGCGGAATGTAACAAGAGAAAGATACATCTTCGGTCAGCAAACGTGAAATTGCAAGTAGCATCGGGGTCCGTACTGCCTGCTGCCGGCGCAGTCAGGTTACGAATTTCCTTTCATGGGAGAAAACGAAGACAACGGTTCGTATACCTCCCAGAACTGCCGGTGCCCATGATCCTCGGTAGAGATTTTATTGCAGCGGAGCGGGTTTTGCTCGACTTTGCCCAGGCTGGATATTGGTTGGGTGGCGAAATGAAATTAACGCCGTTTACCAGACGGCAAGATTGTATTCGCGGCCAAGCGTTCCCGTTAAACTTTGCCGGGCAGATGCCTTTACTTCCAGACAGCGTGCTCAAAGCCGTGCAAAAGTGTTCCGGTGAAGACAAACAGAAGCAGCTCCAGAAACTGCTGGAACCCTTCTCGCCGATGTTCACGGAAAGACCTGGGAAAACCGATCTCCTACAGCACCGCATTGAAACCAAGGATGCACCTCCCCGGAGGTGCAATCCGAGACCCATAAGTGCTCACAAGCGCGAACTTCTTGATGCGGCGCTATCGGAAATGATCGACACAGGCGCAGTACGTCAGTCAAAAAGCCCGTGGGCTTCCCCGGTAGTCCTTGCTCCAAAGAAGGACGGCACAGCAAGGCTTTGTGTTGATTACAGGCGCCTAAATGAAGTGTCAGTCAGAGACAGTTACCCGTTTCCTAGTATTTCCTCAGTAATGTATGCCCTTGGAAACGCGACTGTTTTCACAACCCTCGATTGCAGCCGCGGATTTCTTCAAATCGAAGTTCATCCGGCTGATGTAAAGAAGACCGCATTCATTTGCCATAGGGGGTTGTTCGAATTCACTCGCCTTCCCTTTGGTTTGTCCAACTCTCCCGCCAGCTTTCAACGCCTAATGGACGTTGTCCTCGGTGACGCGAAGTACGAGTTTGCGATGGCGTACATGGATGACGTAGTGGTCTTTTCACGAACATTCGAGGAGCATCTCGTGCACCTTCAGATCATACTCGAACGAATGCGTCAAGCCGGCCTTACGATTCATCCAGATAAAGTCCAGTTGGCATCGCCTGTAATCAACCTTCTCGGATTTGTTGTGGATAACGGAACGCTGCGGCCGAATGAAGATAAGCTGCGCGCAATAACGGAGTACCCACCCCCTTATGACGTCAAAAGCCTACAGAGATATCTCGGGATGATTGCGTTTTATAGAGATTTTATTCCGCAATGCGCTGAGATAACTGAACCTCTGAACCGATTGCTCCGCAAAAAAACGAAATGGTGCTGGGGGCAAGAGCAGCAAACCGCATTCGCGTGTCTTTCAAGGGCTGTGACTGAAAACGCGTGCTTAAACCTGCCCGACTTGAATCGTCCGTTCGTCTTGCAGACCGACGCAAGCGATTACGGATTAGGAGCAGTCCTTCTGCAGGAACATGACAGCGTTCTTCGTCCCGTAGCTTTCGCTAGTCATACGTTAACCGGAGCGGAGCGAAACTACTCAACAACCGAAAAAGAGTGCCTGGCAATTATTTTTGCGCTTAAGAAGTTTGACATGTACCTTGACGGCGCTTCGTTTAGCATTCAAACTGACCACATGGCTCTCTCGTGGCTCAAAGGGCTTCAAAACCCTGCAGGACGACTCGCTCGATGGGCCCTTTCGCTCCAGCGCTACAAATACACAATCGAGTACAAGCGTGGAGTGGCTAACCACGTTGCAGATGCGTTGTCCCGTGCTCCACTTCTCGGGCAGGAAATGCAGGTAGATCCCGACTTGGTGGCACTGGCCAATGCGGCGCCCATCACACCAGAGTCGCGGTGGGGAACCCTGGTGAGCAGAGAGGAGCTCCGAGCGGCCCAGCTGTCCGATGGACTTTGTCAGAAGGTGATGCACCAGCTGGCAGAAGAAAACTCAGCCGACGCTGGGAATCCCAGAGACTTGGACTCATACCTGCTCAGCAGCGACGGCATCCTGCTGCGATACATCCCCCAGGCGGACGATGGGTCCAGCGGCCCGCCATTCCGGTCTGTAATACCACGTAAACTGCGTAAGTCATTTATAAGATATATGCATGATCCCGCCTTGGCAGGCCACAGCAGTGGGAGCAAAACTTACGAAAAGTTGTCCCAAATTGCAACGTGGCCAGGTATGAGGCAGGATGTGATGAGGTACGCTCGTAGCTGCCCGGTTTGTCAGAAGGCAAAACCCCGAGGTGGCCAACCACCAGGTTTAATGCAGTCGGTCGAAAGCAAGTACCCCTGGGAGTGTGTTGCCTGCGACGTTGTCGGTCCCTTTCCCCGTAGTCCACGCGGCAATCAGTATTTGCTAGTAGTGACCGACCATTTCACAAAATGGGTCGAAATGTTTCCTTCGCGCAAACTAGACTCTAAGAAAATCTGGGACTGTCTTCTCGAGACGTTCGCGCGCTTTGGCTTTGCCGCAACGCTTATTACAGACAACGCTTCTTATTTTGTTAGCAAGGTGTTCGTGGATGCGTGTAAGGCGCTAGGCATACGGCACAGACGGACTTCGCCATACCATCCACAGGCGAATATCACGGAAAGAGTGAACCGTAACCTGAAGCAGATGCTTGTATCGCATACAGAACGACACAAAGACTGGGACGCGAAATTAGCAGAAATGGCATTCGCTACCCGCACAACAATCAACCGGTCCACGGGTTTTACTCCGGCCCAACTTAACTTTGGAAAAGAGCTCGTGTTTCCCCTGGGAAACGGCCTCCTTTGCACAGATCCTGCGAGCATGCAGCGCACAACCACGCAGTTCGCAGAAGATCTCCGGAAGCGTTTCACGGAGAACCTGCGTGAAGCTCGAGAGAGCCTCGGCGTCTCGAGACTGCAGCAGGCAAACCAGTACAACAAGGGGAGGC